AATCCAGAGTGAGGGTCAAAAAAAGGAACACAGGGACTCCAGAACCAGACGATCCTGTCCCAGTTTCTAAACCCAGATGTTAGTCTACATCTCCGTTTACACCTGTGGCCAGTCTCCCAGCACTGACTTTCTTCTTTACTGCAGAGCTGCACTTGGCCCCCTAATAACTCCTCGTCTTCCCTTTGTGTTTCCCACTCCCGCCTGTTTGGCCTCTCTTCCCCTAACACCAAGTTCGTGGCCCTCCTGGTTTTACTCCAGAGAATTAGATGGCTTCCTCTAAGGTTCTCTGTTGTCCCCAGGCCCTTCTGAGTCGAACCCTCTCAGAGCCTTCTCGTTAGTCCATTTGTGCTCTGGTGCTCCAATCAACGCTAAGCCCTGCCCCCAGAATGTGATCTATCACATTCAGCCTTGAGTTCCTGCAACCCGAGCAAGCGTTTTGACACAATACATTATGGTAATGCACAGCACATAGAGACATTACCACTCACGACTTTGACAGAGTACACTGTGAAGTCTTTGAAGGCACCATTACAATTTATCTTGTCATTCATGAGAAGATCCAGTTCAGCTTTAATGTAGATGAGCACAGTGTGGCTTTTGTCTTATTTAATTGCTTGTGACCTTTTTAATTGCTAATTTAACAAAATACCAAAGGGTTATATCTCGATTAAATTAATGGTTTGGGGAGGGGATCTGTGTGTTTGTTTTTAAGACATTCTGATTCTTCTTTTCACTTTGAGAAGATAAAATGTCATCTTGAGCAGAAATAGGGTTGAAATGTGAAGTTGATAGTACGATAGTGATTTCCATATGCAAATGGTACAATACCAAGTGTCTTGCGTGCATGTTTGGGTTCTCCCTTCTCCAGGGTACAGACATAGGTTTACAGACCAATCCATTGCATTTTTCTGGTCCTCAAACATACTACTAATTCAATGCTCTGCCTCAGATATCTGTCATGAGATGGGGTGCCTATTGCAGACGCCATTCATTGGGCTCGTCGGTTTGTCCTGCAGCTTTATGTTCTATAGTTTGGTCATGAGTTCCCGAGGATCAAAATCCTTTTCTGCCAGTACCTTCTCACATTCTGCACTCCTGACAAGAGGGCGAGACACATGCACGCACAGATAAGCCCTGCACTCAGTGGCTCTCTGGGCCCACTTGAAAACTGGCAGTGAACTTTGGAGCTGCTGTCCAGTTCAGTAGGTGGCCTGCTTGGAAGGGATGTGGGACTGAGCAGCCAGCACTGGAGGGCATCCCTTGATGCTCTGCCTTCCCGATCTTAAGATTCAGCAGGGCAAGGCTGAGAACTCACTCAAGCATCAGGAAACTGAAACCCTCTATGTGATGTGTGGATTTTCCCCGGCAGAGAGCAGAAGGTCAGTGTGCGAAGCATTAGTGTTGAACCAGCTCCAGCTGTGAAAGTCTTGGACAAAATTAATAGAAGGAAATTGACAAGCTTTGCTGGTTAGTCTATAGCTTTAGACCTTGACTGAAGTCCTATTGCTTCATCTGCCCATTATTAACATTTCAGCAAAATATAAAGTTTTCATTAATCTCCCACAGTAAAGTTAGCCATGAAAACTGGCACTTGTTTGAGCTTTTAGGACACATTAGCTGGTGTATTAAACAGAGTGTGTCATTCTTTAGCAGCTTCTGCAAGAGGCTAAATCAATTTCTAGCTGTATTTATGCACCACTTTATCTAAAAGCATCCGAATTATCATTTACAGCTAAGATGCTTTATTAGCAGCTGGCATTGAAATTGCTCAGTAAAAAAAATTGTATGCCACATTATAGTAATTTTTAAATTGGTTTTAATCCAACATAAAATGTAAAAATCTTAAGTGTGGGGTTTTGTTGTTTTGTTTTAGTAATTGGCATCTTAGCGTAATGAGCTATTACTCTTTCCAAATCAAATACCTGCAATGTTTAGGAAAGACCAATTAGTTAACGTTTCAGAAGCTTTGGAATTCAGAGCTAAACTCTGTCTAATTCAGCTCTGTCTAATGAGTCCTTCTCAGCAAGGATGGCAAAGGTGGACTTTGGTATTTAGGAAATCAGGACTGCTTTCTTCATAATTGTGTGTACAAAATGTCCTATGATAGAAATAAATGCATTTGGCAGTTATGTTTCTGTTAAAATGTAGTTTGGAGAAAGTGGCTGTGTTAAACTTTCCCCCAGCCCTTGTTCTGATGTCGTGTTACCCAGGAAACATTGAAGACCATCATCTGTCCTAAATCACCAGTGCTTCAAAGAATGAAACCAGTCAACAGATGGCTCTTGCAGAGATGGCATGTCAGTCAGTTTGCCCTGCAGTAGGATGCTGGTTAAGTCACGGCCTCTCTGAACATAGCCCTGGTGCTCACCCTGCACTTACACTGGGTTCCTGCTTTCTCTGCACAGTGGCTAGGACTAACTACAGGGGTGAGCACAGCCATCACCGACTACCCTCCTGTGGCTTACAGTCTAGAGGCAGGGACAGATAGTGACTGACTGGTCACTGTTCAGCAGAAGATAGGGATGCAGTGTCAGGAGCGGTACTAGATTTGGGAGCTTAGAGTCAGGGAAAACCCCCTTCCTGGAGCCTCACTTGAGCAGACTTTTGAGAAGGGATAGGAAGGAGACTAGTAGGGAGTGAGACAGGAAACAGGGTGCTCTGAGCATGTGTAATATGCTCTGAGACAGGACTATCTCCAAGCTGTATCACATCCTTCCCAACAGGACAGCCTTGTCACAGGTCCTGTATCGTCCATGTGAAGAGCCATAGTGTTTAGGAGCAGAATATACAGCTCCTAATAACTGAGTCCAGTGTAAAAGAAAAGGAAACTGACTTCTTTAAAAGGTCAGCCTATAGGCAAAGAAAAACGTGAAGTTGTCAGGCCGTGGAACAGCAGTTTATACTGTGATACCCAAAGCTAGTGCTTTCTCTCCCAGCAACTCCATCTGAAGGAATTCCTGAAGTTCCCTGTGGTTTGCCTGTAACTGGTGTGTGTGGCCTTAGGGTATGACTTAGCTTCTCATCACTTTAAGATGGGAAATTCCAGGACCCTCCATGTTGTCATGAGGCTTGACACAAATAAAGTACTTGACATCATGGCTGGCCTGGGTAGCAGACTGGCCAATATCTATTTAGCAAGTTTAGTGTGAGCACACCAGCTGTGTATGCAATTCTCAGGAGAATGCATAAAGATGAATAAGAAACTTGATTTACCTTCGTGAAACTTCCACATTATGACAGGGCAACCATTAAACAAGGCTCAGACAAGGCTGAGTATCAGCCCCCCTGGCTACTACTTGTTAATCATTTTATGCATTAGATAGATTCTTTACATGAATTTTTATGTTCTGGGAATATCAAGGGTTAGTTCACAAAGGTAGTTACTCGTCTAAGATCACAGGAAATTAAAGGCAGAGGTGGGAGTTGAACTAGGTCTGCCCAGCTCTGGGTCCAGTATATACCAGCTACTATACATGTGTGCCAGAGCAACCAAAACAGATTTTATTGAAGAGGTGAAGTCTGAGATAGCCTGGGAAAGAGGAAGATTTTGGCTGTTCTGGGTAGAGCTGAAGGAGTAGTCTGGGCCATGAACAAGACCTAGCAATTGCACCTGAGAAGTGTACTCCCAGACTGTGGGGACTGGATCATGTTTGCCTTTGCCTGGTGTAAGAGTTTGGGAGAATGTGAGAGAAAGTGTTGTGAGGACTGACAAGAGATGGGAAAACTGTTCAGCCAGTTCATAAGCTGCCCTGCCTTAGCTGCTGGCTGTAGGAAGGGCTTCGTTCAAGAGGCCTGGGAGAGTTGTAGAGCACCAGTCTTCCTGATTGTCACCTACATCATGTTACACAGTGTATGTGAGCGAGTGGGTGAGTGTATGAGGAGATGAATGAGTATGTGAGTGTGGGAGTGAGTGTGTGAATGAATGTGAGTGAATGTGTGAGTGTGTAAATGAGTGTGTGAGTGAATGAATGAGTGAATGTGTGAGTGTATGAATAAGTGTAAGTGAATGAGTCTGTAAGTGTATGAATGAGAGTGAATATGTGAGTGTGTAAATGAGTGTGTGAGTGAATGAATGAGTGAATGTGTGAGTGTATGAATAAGTGTAAGTGAATGAATGAGTGTGAGTGGATATGTGAATGTATGAATGAGTGTGTGTGTGAATGAGTGAGTGTGTGAGTAAAGGAGTGAGTGAATGTGTGAGTGTATGAATAAGTGAATGAGTGTGTGAGTGAATGTATTAGTGTGTGAATGAGTATGTGAGTGAATGAGTGAGTGAATGAGTGTGTGAGTGAATGTATTAGTGTGTGAATGAGTATGTGAGTGAATGAGTGAGTGAATGAGTGAGTGTGTGAATGAGCTAGTGTGTGAGTGAATGAGTAAGTAAATGTGTGAGTGAGTGAGTGTGTGAGTGAGTGTATGAATGAGTGAATGAGTATGTGAGTTTGTGAGTACATTAATGAATGAGTGAGTTGAGTGAATGTATTAGTGTGTGAATGAGTGTGAGTGTGTGAAGGAGTGAGTGTGTAAGTGCATGAATGAGTAACTGTGTGAGTGAGTGAGTGAGTGAGTGAGTGAGTGGCCAGGTCACAGAGGCAGCTCGGCAGTCCCAAGGCTTCTGCCTGAGGCAGGGGACGCTGTGGAGCACAGGGCAGGGAGCTTCTGAGCAAACAGGGTAGGGATTTGGAAGGGTCGGGGCTCTTCAAGGAGCTTCGACGACTTTCATGACCAGCACACTCTTGGTCCCTGCTCACGCCTGTCTCCCCACTGCCCAGCCAACGGCCCGTCCTGGCATAGGCAGTGTTTGTGGAATTAACTGTTGGATGATTAATACGATAGCATTCTCTGTTTACTGGAATGGCATTATTAAGTCATCGCTCAGCCTTTTCCCCTCCAAATTAAATAGCCCGTATTATTTTAATTTATCCCAAAGCATTTTAAGCAGACACCATTTGCCAAGCCTCATGTATCTTTATGTGTTAAACTGTTCTTTTCCTCCCCAGGTTCAAGGGCAGACGGAGTTTTCGAGGAGGATTCACAAATTGACATCGCTACAGTGCAGGATATGCTTAGCAGCCACCATTACAAGTCATTCAAAGTCAGCATGCTCCACAGACTGCGGTTCACAACTGATGTGCAGTTAGGTGAGTGCACGAAGGGATCCAGGCAAAGGTGTGGCACGCAGCCCGCAAAGGCGTGGCACGCAGCCCTCACGGGGCCTGCAGGACTACAGAGAACTTGTTTTCTGAGGAAATGTTAAACAATGAAATGTACAATACATCCTTTTCCCACCCAAGGGTTCTGTATTGTCTTCTCTATGAAGCAGATTAGACAGAGAACTCACTTGAGACTGTCCTCAAACAGATAGATTGTTGAGAAGTTCCATGGCTCCTCTTGTCCTGGGGATGTCCTCAGCACTCCTAGGGATACTGCTGTACACCTATCCTTACTCCCCAACCTTATAGCTTTCTTGTTTACAAAGCTTCTTAATGATCTTACAGGTTATATCTGAGTCTCACTAGAAAATCTAGTACTTACTTTCAGCTAATGTTAGGGCTTGATTTGCTCGGGTTAAACACTACATTTCCGCTTTTACTTAAACCTAACAGGAATAGAAAAATCATCATAGTAGTCAACATGATATTAAGACATCATCATCATGACTGTGTTGTTGAGGTGTCCACTGTGTCTGAATCACTGTGCTAGTTGCTTCTCTTGCGCTCTTTACTACCTAGAAGGTGGCAGGCTTTGCCATCTCACTTGACAGAGTGGGTGAAGAGGGACAGAGATAGCCTCATCCCCAACTTAGTCCACTCAAGCTGGTGGTGACAGTGTCTGGAACCAGGTCTGACCAGCTCACATCCTCCGCACGCTAACAAAGATCCCTCCTCATGGGGAGGGGAGAAGCTAAGAGAGCACCAGGCTTACACAGTAAGGAAGCTGAGTTCTTACCCTGCCTGTCATAGCTCTCCCCCATAAGGCCTTGTTTGCTGTTGAATCAGGGGATAAAGATTTAGTCTAATTCTAAAATTGCTAAGTTTATGTTTCTCATAATAAAATCTCTGATATCGGCATTAATCTGAACCTAGCTAATATGTCCTGAGCCTCAAAAAGCTCTTCCAGTATTCTTTACCAGCTGTGCATTTGTACTGGTATGTGAGCCTGTGGTGGCCAGAGGTCAGCCTCAGGCGTCTTCCTTCAGCTGATCTCCACGTTATCTTCTAAGACAGGGTCTTTGACCAGTGTTGGAGCTTACCAATTTGGCTAGACTGGCCCAGCAGCAAGCCCCTGGGGTCCTCCCGCCTCTGACACCTCAGTACTACCTTTTTACTTGAGTTCTGGGAATCCTAACTCAAGTCCTCAGCCTGCTATCACAAGCACTTTACTGACAGAGTCATCTCCCCAGGTCCCTTCCCAGTTTTATTGACAGGAGCTTGCCATATGCTGACTGTTCATTCAGCTTCCTTTAAGAGATGGGCAACTGAACTTCAACTGACTTAAAACTGTCTCTCTGAGCCTCAGTTCTGGCCTGTCCAGGAATTCAGCCAGAGTTACATAGTAAGACCCTCTCAAAGGCAAAGTTAAGAACATAAAACTTTGAGTACTGTCTTCACTAGTGATGTTTGTCTCAGGTACCTCATGTAGAGATGAAATGCATACACTGCTCAGAAAGAAGGCGGTGTCTCGGGCTGGTGTGAGCTCAGGTAAGCACATTTGCTCAGCCTACCCAGGATCCTCCGTTCAGTATCACAACCCTCCAAAAGAAGATTGACCTCTGTGGTACTTTGAATGAAAATGACCCCCACACACACCCGCCAGGCCCATAGGGTGTGGCATTATTAGGAGATGTGGCCTTGTTGGAGTAGGTGTGTCACTGAGGAGGGCTTTGAGGTTTCAGATGTCCAAGCCAGGCCTAGTGTCACTCTCTTCCTGCTGCCTGCAGATCCAGATGAACAACTCTCAGCAGCCTCTCCAGCATCATGTCTGCCAGCACACCTCAGTGCTTCCTGCCCTGATGATAATGGAGTAAACTTCTGAACCATAAGCCAGCCCTGATTAAATGTTTTCCTTTATATGAGTTGCCATGGTCATGGTGTCTCTTCACAGCAATGGAAACCAAACAAAGACAGCCTTCTCCCAAATGCACCACACAGGAACTTGTTTGGTTTTGCAGGGAGCTACATTTTTCTAGAGCTCAGCTTCTTAAACCATAGTCCTTGATGCACATGGGTTCACATAACTGAGTGTGGGAATTTCAGAAGATCTGATGAGAGTAAAAGGTTACTGAGAATACCCTTAAAACTTGATTCAAAAGCTAGTGTGTACTGACTCTGAGGGGTTTGCCATGTTGGATCTCCTGATGTCACTGCAGCCTTGGTTAGGAATACCCAGCATCTGTACTCTACAGTGATCACATGCTGTCACACCACCTCCTACCAGCCTCACAGGAACACCTTGGTTCACAACTGGGCAGACTATTATTGTCACATGTTCTGAATTGTTGTGTTCAGACTATACAATTTTTTTTTCCTCAGGCTGGAAAAAAGGCTAGTGGTCAAGAGTTTATTGCTTTTCCAGTGGACCTGGGTTCAGTTTCCAGCACCCATGTGATGGCTCCCAGCCATCTGCAAATTCTAGTGCAGAGGATCCTACATCCTCTTCTGGCCTTCACACATGGTGACTGTCTGAATGCCCTGAGATTATTTTGAGGTGGCAAGCCAGTGTGAGGCATTTGAGAGGTCTGTTTCCCATGTCTGTCACATGACAAAGTTCTCAGCAATGAATGAGGGGATCACCCACTTGTCAGTCAGCACCAGGGACTATAGGAAGAGCTGGGGGCTGTAAGAAGTCACCACCAGTGCCTTTGGAAGCACAGACAGACATCGTCACTGGGTCTGAGTGGCACTTGAACTTCAGGTGCTCAGGGTAAGCATCTTGGTACTGTATTGAATCTGACATGCTGGCTCTGATGGCCACACCTGACCCACCTCATCCTCAGCTGCTCCTTTCCTTCTTGCTGAACCCAGAGTTTGCCAACTTGGCTCTGCTATTCAGCAGTTCAGAAATCCTCTTGTCTTCACCTCCCCAGCACCAGGAATATAGCTGTACACTGCCGTACCTGGACTTTCCACATGGCTTCTGGGAAGTTCAGCTCATTCTTGCACAGAAGACACTACCAAATGAGCTGTCCTCCTCAGCCTCAGGGACTGCTTTTTTCTGATGGCTTCTGAAACTTTACTTTTTAAAAAAAACCTGTTTTCAATTATGGTTCTTAAATGCTTTAACCTCCCTTTTAGCCCCCACCCACCAGAGGTAGGGGGAAAGAAAGGATACGGGGAAGTGGACCTGTTTTGAAAGGTTCTTTGAAGAATCATCTGTATTGTCTGGAAATCAGCAGAATTCAGTTCACAGGTTAGCAGCAGCAGCTCAATCCACTCGCAAATGCCTCGGGTACATCAACAGTCCAGTTCAATAGAGTTGGGATAGCAAACAAGAATCAGCAGTGGTGGCACTACTTAGCAGAGACAGGCAGGCCTTGGCCTTGGCAGGAGTCAGCAGGAGGGACCTTGAGGGATACCAGAAGAAGTTCTCGGCTGTGCCTCTCAGGGAAGCAAAGATCAGGGAAGACTTGAGACCCACAAGTGTTGCACAGCTTAGCTCTATAAGCAAGCCCAGCTCAGCCTCCATCACTGTCCGTTGAGTCCTGTTTATACCCTCCAGACATCACGTGTCCGTGGGTCTTGCCTCAGCACATGCATCTGTCTCGGCTGATGTCACTCTGCCGATCAGCCCAAGTCCTTGGAATCAGCCACAAACAGCAGCACACCACCAGAAGTTTCTTGTTGAGTTTCTCTCTGTGAGTTCCAACAAATGCAGCTTAACTACGCAGTGTAAGGCAGAACAATACATGCATATCGTTAGCAAAGAATCCTTCATCACGTGTCCTTTCACATGCTTGCTTTAGCAGAACATCCTCTCTCCTGTGTCTGCTTCAGTGAAACGTTCCTTCAGGAGTCCGCCTTAGTCTTTCACACCTGTATCCACTCTAACAAAGCATACCTTTACATGTTTGCCCCAGCAAAACACCATCCAACTGACTTTCCAAAAAACCCTTAAGTTTCCACTTCAGGCTTCTTTCTAGGAAATCCTACAGGTAACTTAACTGCTGTCAGGATCAGGATCTAAAACAGGGTATTCCACAGGCCTACCACTCAGTCTCTGACTGAGAAGCAGAGCCTGGAATGACCACAGATCCCAGGTGTGTCTCCTACTCTTTCCCAAAGGCAAAAGGAAAACTTGTACCCACCTGATTCTGACCTGCAGATTCATCCCCAGAAACAGGGCCTCAGAGTCTGGTGTCAGGACTAGGTTTAAGTTGTACCTTCCTTTTGTACTGTGGTGGCACCCTGGACACATCCCTGTCTCTTCTGCCTTAGTCATTACAAATTATAAAACAAATGTTATTGTAATACTCTCCTTGTATGGTTGTGTGCAAATGTCTGGCCACAGAAGCTGGTTCTAAGTGGTGGCTTAACTTAGCTCTGGGATGTCATCTTTGGTGCCTTTTGTCATCCCTACTAGTCTCCATCTTGCAAGTGTTAAACTGGGTTGCCCAGATTTGCAAATGCTTCTCCGAGCCTCACTTGTAGCCACATGGAAACCAGTGAGATAGAAAAAGATAAAGAGAGTGTTTCTGGTGTCTCAACCCAGAGAAGTAGTTCTCTGAAGTGACACTGGGGAGATCCCGGTTCCAGGATACTTGTCAGGGCATACGTGGTGCCCTTTGGTGGACAGTCTCATCGGAATGGGCTTATCTGCTGGGCTCAAGCTTTACACCAAAAGCAGAGAGCTTAGTGGTTATTCCTAAGGAACTTTGTAACTGCCCTTGAGTATCATGTCGTGTAATGAGTAAGTTCCCAAGTAGGTCAAGTCAGGTGTCTACCCTCAGACACTCCCTCCTTACAAAGCACATGACAACCCCCCCACACACACACACAACTCACAATACACACTTGCACACAGCAGTCCAGGAATTCTTTGCCTTAGTTCAACCCAAAGTTTAGGGCATCAAGCAGTACTCTTTCCGTGAGTATTCAAGTGAGCAGCCACATTCTGAGATCGGTAAATCATTTATTTTATTTCA